CACAAAGTTGTCCCCCACAGTTCAGTGTAAGGAGGCCTGCTTTGTTGACAAATGCTTTGGTGAGGCTGGAGACTGGGGAAAGAGTCTCTGGGTCACGCTGGGGTACTCCTTGGGTCCCGAGTGCTCAGTCCTCCAGCGTCCAAGTGCTGGGCTGGGTGTAGCTCTTAAAGGAAAAAGCGAGGTCTTTCAGCTCCTCAGAGTCATAGCTGGCATAGGCTCTGGTCAAAAAGCAGCCCTGGAGCCGGGCTTGGTGGCTCAGCCTGTAATCCCAGCGCTTTGGGAGGCTGAGGTGAGTGGATTGCCTGAGCCTGTGGGTTCGAGACCTGCCCAGGCAACTTGGCGAGACTTCATCTCTACAATAAATCAAAAATCAGCTGGGCGTGGTAGCACGCGTCTGTAGTTCCATCTACTTGGAAGGCTGAGGTGGAAGGATCGTTGGAGCCCAGCAGGTCGAGGCTGCGGTGGCCGGGAGCAGCCACTGCACTCCAGTCTGGGTGATAGAGTGAGACTCCAACTCAAAAAAACACACAAAAAAAACACAAAAAAAGAAAAGCAACCCTGGGGCCAGACCAGACAATTTTGACCTGAGAGTCGTAAGATTACCTGGAAAGGACCCAAAATCACTGTCAAGAACTGGTCAATGCAATTACCACTTCTATTGCTAACCGTACTCACCACTTACTGGGCACCTAGCGCTTAGCAATTCTTTTACATATATTATCTTACTTAATCTTTGCTTAAATCTTCAGGGCAAGTATTTTAAAATCTACCTGAAACTCAGAGAAGTAACTTGTCCAAGATTACACAGCTAACAAATGGCATTTACGTGGGGGTTTAAATGATAAATGCTACTACCCATTCAGGGACAAAAACAAAGTAATCCTGTTTTAAGACACTTTTTCAATCCTTTCTATAAAAAAAAAAAGATTTCCATGAACCACTGAAAGGTGGTGAGTCAGTTTAAAGGAATGTGGCAACCCTTCCCCTCCAAGGGTGGTGATGACATCCTCCTGAATGTATTCATTTCTGCATAGTCCCTGTCCCTCCCAGCTGAGCAAGGCTCTCACACCTCCAGAACATGAGCTTATAAGGTGTCCCAGGCCCGATGGGGACGGCAAGAGGGGCTGGAAGCCAGTTGGCTTGGAGGCAGGAGCAGAAGATCCTTCCCTCCTCGTGGGAGGCAGTTGAGGGCGATGTGGTCTAGGGGGCCAGCAGGCCTGAGTGGGAACACGACCTTGGCACTGACCGCTGGCCTATCTGAGCCTGTTTCCACATCTGCAAATGGGGTGACCATGCCTACCTTTGAGGGTTGTCGTGAGCATCAGGTGTAGGCAATTCGTACAAAGCACCCAGTAAATGGTAGCTATTGTTACTGCTGGATATTAACAGCAGAAGTCCACATCACAGTGACTCGGTTGCCCTCACTGCCTTTACTGACTCTAGCACAAAAAGCTCCCAGTCCAGGCTAATTCCTGCTCATCCTTCATGCACAGGCCTGTCTCTTCCTTGGGGAGGTGTCTCTGATGACCCTGAAAGAGGAGTCATTGGCACTCTTGGCCACCCTGAGCAACCTCACCAAGAACACCTTTGATGTCATCTCCAAGACCTATAGCTGTCTGACCCTGGACTTCCAGGGAGAGACTTTATTCACCAAGTCTTCCTACCAGGAATTCACCGACCATCTCGCCAAGACCCACACCAAAGTCTCTGAGCAGAGGCCCCAAACTGGAGCTGTGGCCAAAAAGTGGAGGTTTTTATGCAAGAAAAATAAAGTGAAGTAAGCCTGTTAAAAAAAAAAAAAGACTGAGTTGGGCACAAGGTCCTGTAATCCCCAGCACTTTGGGAGGCAGAGGCGAGAGGATTGCTTGAGCCCAGGGGTTCAGATCAGTCTGGGTGATTTGGAGAGACCTCGTTTCTACAGAAAATTTTTTTAAAAATTAGCTGGGCGTGGTGGCACATGCCTGTGGTTCCAGCTACTTGGAAGGATGGCCTGAGCCCAGCAGGTTGAAGCTGTGGTAGCTATAATCATGCCACTCTACTCCAGTCTAAGGGACAGAGTAAGACTCTGACTCAAAAACAAACAAATAAATTGGTTTAAATAAATAAACAAATAAATGAATAAATAAATAAAACTGAACTTATAGAGGCCGTATTCTGTCACCCAGGCTATAATACAGCCATGAGATCATGGCTCACCACAGCTTCAACCTCCTGGGCTCAGACGATTCTCCTGCCTCAGTCTTTTAAACAGCTGGACTATAGGCATGTACCATCACACCCTGCTAATTTTTTGATTTTTTTGTAGAGACAAGGTCTCACTATGTTGCCTAGACTAGTCTCGAATTCCTTGACTCAGGTGTTCCTCCCGCCTTAGCCTCCCAAACTGCTGGGATTACAGGTATGAGCCACCACCCCTGGTCTGTTCTGGTTAAAATATTTTTAAAACAATTGTAGAAAAGTTATTTGATCTCAGTCATTGACAAGTTCATAATCTATAGGTTACTTTCTTTCTCTCTCTCTTTATTCCAGTCACTTTGAAAAAAATCAAAGGAATTTTTCTTTCAGACATGTCTTTCAACCAATAAAGCAGTGCTTTAATGATTCCATAAAGGAATCTACCTGTCAGAAGGCTTCATGCATGGAAACTCAAGCACTTCTGTCTGGCTGTTCTAATTTGTTTTAAACATCTCATCAGAATCTATTTGATAGAAGGGAACCTTAACAATGTCACCTGAAAAATGATGTTCAACGATAGCATTTCCAGAAGTCTGGACAGGAACAGCGAGGATGGTGAGCTAGAACGACAGGCGTCTGCTGATGAAGCATGGCCCAGGCCATGTCTCATCCTGCCCTGCTAATTTCACAGAGCAGCCATGAGGCCCAAACAGGATAATGTATGTGACTGTACTCCAAATTCTGGAAAGCGACATCAAGCACGATCTGCAGTTTGCTGGAATTCCACCCACAGGTCTCATTACAACAGCACCTGGGGCTACACCCTTAAGTCTCGTTGGCAGAAAGAGATAATGTGGGACCTAGGAACTTCCTGGAATGAAGAGAACATGGGAGCTATCGGAGGAAAATACTGATGTCATCTAGTCGAGCCTCCTCTAAATGAACTCTGTGTCCCCAGCAGACCCACCATTCCCTTAAATGTGCTAGAGGCAGAGCTGCCCAGACTTTCCACTGCACACACAATTCATTCTGGAGCAATCTGTAAGGCTCAGCAATGCTTTATTAGCTTCTCTCTGTAATCTACGTCCTTTGAGGGCCCTTATTCTTCTCTCCAGAGCTTCTGGAGAATGTGAAGCCAAGAAGGCAGCTTTCAGAAGTTCATTAGCCTGGTTGGGGGCAGGGGGATTTTTGACCTGAGGTAAATAGCTCAGCTGTAATTTTAGATTGATGGGTCTAGAAAGGGAGGGGAACACAGTTGTTTTTTTTTTTTAAACTAAGAGACCGATTTACAAAGCTGGCGTCTAGCACTATGTAATTAATAATAAACACCAAGCCGGGCTCGGTGGCTCAGCCTGTAATCCCGCGCTTTTGGGAGGCTGAGGTGAGTGGATTGCCTGAGCCCACGGGTTCGAGACCCGCCTGGGCAGCGAGACCTCATCTCTACAATAAATCAAAAAATCAGCCGGGCGTGGTAGCACGTGCCTGTAATTCCGGCTACTTAGAAGGCTGAGGCGGAAGGATCGCTGGAGCCCAGCAGGCGAGGCTGCGGTGGCCGGAAGCAGCCACTGCACTCCAGTCTGGGCAACAGAGTGAGACTCCGACTCAAAAAAAAAATAAATAAATAAATAAATAAATAATAATAATAAACACAAGCTAAGACTTGAATTCTTAGTATGCACCAGTCATTGTTCTAAGAGCATCATATGTATTGGCTAATTTAACCCTTCCTAGAACCTGGTGGTGCATGATGCTATTATTATACCTAGTTTATAAATGAGCTACCTAGAGTACAAAGCAATTGAGTAAGTTGTTCAAGTTCATAGACATAAGTGAATCTCTCCAGGAGCCAAGGTGAGCCCCCTTTCTAACACGTTATATGGTCTTACCTAATAGCAGGGTCTCCGCTTTTCCACTGCCCACAGCCCTAGTCCTGACCCAAAGGCCCTACTTCTCACCCACTAAGGCTTATTTTCTTAATTAGGGTTTATCCCAGTGATCCAGTACCAGATCCTCTATCTTCTTTGCTTCCCACCTTAACTAAGATTCATAATTTTCTATCAAGCTGTTTCTGACTTCCCTGGATAGAAATATACAGACAACACTGTGGCTATCAAGTAAATATAGACAATTCAATTTCTTACTCAGCTCAACCCTGTTTTTCTATCAAGAATCCCAGAAGTTCTGACAAGCTGCAAGTTTTGCTATAAGCCAATGCAAAACCAGTCTTCACTGTATCCTACTTTGCTGGCAAGCATGCACAGCCAGCACTGTGGTATACACTCTCAAATATTTTTTTTGAGTTGGGGTCTCAGTCTGTTGCCCAGGCTGGAATGCAGTGGCACAATCATGGCTACTGCAGCCCCCACCTCCTGGGCTCAAGCAATCCCTCTGCCTCAGCCTCCCAAGTACCTGGGACAACAGCTGCACATCACCACACCCAGCTGAATTTTATGTAGAGATAGGGTCTTGCTATGTTGCCTAGACTGGTCTTGAACTCCTAGGCTCAAGTAATCCTCTTGGCTTGGCCTCTCAAAGTGCTGGTATTGTGAGTCATCGTGCCTGGCCAGACTGAAGATTTAATACAATGCCCAGTAAGGGCTCACTGCTGGGCAGCTTTTCCAACTATCAGGACAAGTACTCCAAAGGCTTGCAGGAGCCATTTGTACCAGTCCTGAGAGAATTAAGGAGTTATCAGATAGAGCACGCTAACACCGGAGATACTGAAGACACCCACGGCTTCAGGTGAGAAACAAGCTCTCCTGGGATGATACCAGTAGGCAGGCTGCTTTATGCCCTGCCTGGACCGCCCAGAACCCCACCGGTACCTTCACTCCGTCCAGCACCGCCTTGATGACCCCCTTCACAGTTGTCACCATCTCCTTGTCTTCTGAGTTGACACCTTCCAGCATCACTTGGTCAGACCAACGAATGAGGTTGGCGAGACTTTGGTACACGCGGCTATAGCAGGAGGAGAGGGCTGAGCTACAAAAGAACATTACAAAGAAAACCTAAGGCATGACCATCACGTTAAGACACCCGCTCAGCACACACCAGTTTTTCAGTGACTAGGGTGTGTTTCCAAATCTCTCTTTTTGTAAAATCCGCACCTATTTTTCTTTAAAATTTTTTTTCTTTTAAATGTCTCTCTATGTTGCCCAGGCTGGTCTCGAACTCCTGGCCTCAAATGATCCTCTCACCTCGGTTTCCTAAAGTGCTGATTACAGGCATGAGCCACTGTGCCCAGTCTACATCCCTTTTTAGTAAACCTTTTCTCTCCTGAATCGTTTTCTTTACATTTAACAAAGATTTTGTGGAGATCCATATTCCAATCTGTGCTCTAAAAAGATTTTTTCATTTCTCAAATGCAACATATAAAAACTCCATCATGATAGTTAACATATGCTCCAAATTCTGCATCCCCCTACCAGATTCTGATACCATCCATCTCTCCAGGGATGACCCTCTTCTCCCTTCTGAGTTGCAAACAACTGGATGAGGGAAAAGCATCGCATACTTCTTGTTATTAACTAGACTAAAATTCATCTTAGATGTATCACAAGGAGATGGCAGGCTTGTGGAATTTTAACAGTCATGTTCCTTTAAAGGAACAACCATACACTCAAGACAGATCTGCAGTTTGCTGAAATTCCTTCTAACACGGGCTCAGTTTTGTCATCCTTTGCACTGTAACAATGGCTGAGATGTCCAAGGAAAACCCTGATGAAGACTCTAGAGAATAACAGATCAGAGACGAGGTGACTTATGATGGGGGGGAGGCATATAGGGATGGTGATGTGGGTTTGTGTGAATGCACGTGTGTGTGTGTGTGTGTGTGTGTGTGTGTGTGTGTGTGTGTGTGTGTGTGTGTGTGTGTGTGTATCAGCCACCAGTTACACTGTGATGTCAACATATACACACAGAAGCCCTGGGCACCTTGTGAGTGCCTCAATGGTTGTTGAGTGGCAACCAAAAAATATATTTTACATCTTCCACATATTATTAAATAACTAAAGATGTTTTTCTTAGGAATTTTGGAATTATTTTTCAATTCCAAACATTCAAACAGAAGGGGAGCAAAAATTAAAATATAGAAAAATTTCATGGTACCCCTTCCTTCTAAAAAACAAAAATAAGGCAGACACTTAGAAGCCAAAGTATCATTTTGAGGAAAATGAATAATATTGTAAGACATCGTTAAAAACAAAATCATTTAAAACAAGAATCTGAACCAAGCAGCACTCTAATGAGAAGCTCTTCAGAATAAGGTAAGGAGGAAAAGCTTTTCCATGAGAAAAAAGCTTCCATTTAGCCAGGCATTCCACCCTGAGCATGTTCCAACAGGAGCCGAGAAGAGTCAGCAGGAATGACAGCAAACTTCTCAAGTCCCATTAGGAACAAAAAACTTCACAAAAGGAGCCCTGAGAAAGCCAGGACTGAACCATTTCAGGAGATAATAGGAGTGAAAAGTATTTGTTGTTTGAATTCTTCTCTTCAAAAAAAGGACTGAGAGGGAAAACAAAAGCTTGGCAGTCTCTCCTGGGGCTGGATCACAGCTGACCTCATCCCGCAGGGAGAATGTGCTTCTGGGAGCTGGATCTGGTGCGGCTTCTTTCAACAGATGTGGCTGTAGAGCGGGCACCACCAAGGCAAGGCACCGCTGAACTCCTGGCAACAGTGAGATGAAAGAGTGGGGGAGGCCCTTTCCTTCAATATTTATTTCTACCTGGGTTGGAAGCTAACATTTCCCTGAAGGCACCTGAACCTGACAATTACGTCCTCTCCCATTATCAGCTTAGAAGCAGAATATTCCAAGACAAAAGGAGAGTTCTGTATTGTGAAGATATCGCACTGCGGTCTAGCCGCTGGCTTCTTTCTGCAGGTGAGACCAAGCACGACTCTTGCCTCACGTGGCCTCTGGGCGCCCCTGCACAGAAGGTTCCTTCACTCACGGCTGGCGCTGAAAAGCCCACTGCTCGTTCAAGGGCTGAGTTCAACACTGTCCTAGGAAAGGCCTGCCTGTGAGGCCCTACCCCACAGGAGCAGGAAAAGCCTGCCAGTTCACAAACTGCACTTAGGGAGCAAAGAGACCATGCAAAGAATCTAAAAGGAACGCTTCAAGAAGTCTTTTCATTCACTGTGGGAAATCAAGAAAAATGTCACCACTAGTTATGGAAGAATTTCAGAAGGAAAATCCCTTCAGTGGGATTAGCCAAAGGACCATCAGGAAAAAAAACGAAACAAACTGTATTTAATTGTTTCTTATGGCTACACCCAGGCATTTCCCTTTCTACTCATTAGGAAATGTTTATACAAGGGGGACCCAAAAACCCCCGGAATTATTTGTTAGAGGGCAGGCCCCTTGTAGCACAGGGTTCCGTCGCCAGGTTAGTGTTCAGGGAACCCACTGGCATCAGTGTGGCAGCTAGCATTGTTGTGAGACGCAGCAGTCAGCCACAGTGAATTTCTCTTTGGCAGTTCTTTCCACGTGTTTGCCCACTTCATGATGAGTGATTTACACAGAAAACTTGGCTATAACACAGAGTGTTTGTTCAACAGCTTTTGACCTAAAGCGGTATAGCCCGCATGCCCCATCCTCCCTGTTCACTCAGTCTCGCCCTGAGCAGCTTTTTTTTGGTTTCTACAGATGAGAAAATCCTTAGAGGGAAACATTTTGCCCATGAGGAGGAGGCGAAACAAAAAATGGCAGAAGCACTAAAAAGCATCAAAACTGATGAGTTCAAAACTCTTCTGTGCAATGGAAAAAGCATCTCGATAGGTGTACTGCATCAAATGGAGAGTACTTTGAAGGTGACTGAAGTTTAAACATATAAGCACACAATTTTTTATAAATAAATTCCGGGTTTTTTGGGTCCCCCTTTGTAGACATTTGATAATTTTTGTCAACTATAAGAACCATCCCCCATGACAAACAATATCCCAACAACCAGTATCATGTGACTTGATCAAGTCTTATCAGTCTTATCTAGTGTTTGCAGGTAATCACCCAAGCAGAGTTCTGGCTAACACTCTAGGAAGCAACAATCTTAGCAGCAACCCAATTAGCACTATTTGCTAAGGATTTAGCTAAGGTAACTCTATCCTGGACTCTCCCAAAAAGGAAGGGTAATAGAAGAGACCAGTCCCCTTTTTCCACTGTCACCCCTCCTTGATGCCCTAGAGCAGTGACACACCCTCTGCACATGACTGAGAGGATTTTATAAAAGGCCATCTACACATCTGACCATAGTGTAATGTCAGGTGATTCCCTCTCAGAGAACCAGCCCTGGGCCCTTCACAAGCTGGCACTGGACTGACTATGGAGACACCCAGGGGAGACATGGGCAGGGCCGAGCCACATCAACGTTCCATCCTCCCTCACCAGCCAGTGCCAGTGAGCTTCTTCTAGCCAGGAGAATACAACTTCCAGGGCTCGGCTAATCCATGGTAGAAGCCCCAAGGCAGAGAGTTTCTTGGAAATAAAGACACTATTTGCTTTATCTCCCAGAAGAAAATGATGAACTTCATTGCCAAGTTCTGAAAGCAGTTCATAAGAGCTTAGCTTCACAGGGTTACATGAACACTAAGCCATCTCAAGGAATCAAAACAAAGATGCATTTATTCTGAAGGTACCAGGGTAGGAAAACAGAACATGTGCCAGTCTCTTAAGAAAAAGCTCCTGCCAGGTTTTCATTTCAGATTATATGTAGTATTGTTTCTCTTTCTGTACTTAACAATAAATATGGAGCAAGCTGCTTGCTAACCTGTAAGAGAAAAGGCATTCTAGCCATAAAAGCATTACCCAACAAAAGCTTCTTGGGGCAAAGGTCGATCTTTAGCCCTGGAGTGAGAGTGCTTGTCATTTTATGTTGCCTTGGCATCCATTTGAAAATACGTTTCACTTTCTCATGCCAGAAGGAGGGCTCAAGAACCCTTGACACGGTTGCTAACATTTCACCCGAAGGTTCCAGCCGGGGGCCAGGAGCATCTCTCCCCACTAGCAGTCTGGGCGCCTCACCCACTCACCGCTTCCTTTCAATGGACCAACCAGACATTAGCCCAAGAACTTAAAGCAACTATCCCTCAGTTCCTAGTGCCTGCTTGCTTTAAAGATATCAATTTAAGCTTCCTGCAGGAAACCTGTTTGGATAACATCCTGGACCCAACAGAGGCAATGGTCCCTGGAGTCCCTTCTCTCTATTGCAGCCTGTGCTTCCTGACTTCCCTGTGGCCTCCAGCCTGCCGTGTACCCCGCATCCCTGGCCTGCAATCCAGTCCGAGTGAGGCTGCCCTGAAGAGGCTCCTGCGACTCACGAAGGTGGACCCCCTGCTGGTGCTCTTCTGTCTGGACTTCTGGTGGCTACTGGAAGATACCCCCCACCCCGCCCCATGAATGCAGGGTCCGTGTTTGGGAGGTGTCCTGGCTGGCTCTAATGGGTTCTTCCCTGCCTCTTTTGGCCTAACCTTCTAAGCAGCCGAGAACTACACAGGCTAGATATGGATAGGATTAAATGAGCATGTTAGGTGACTGAGGACACTAGGAGAAATATATCCAAGTTGATGTGATTACTGTTGGTGAGCGAGCTAATGCCAAGAAATGGCTACAAACTTACACTGTGACCACATCCCTAAGGACAGCAGAGGTCTGCCTCTCCTGAGACTTCAGGAGAGACCCCAACCCTGGAATGACATCAAGGGATAGTGGGGGGGGTCCTTTTCTTGACTTTCCTAGAAACTCCGTGTTTCGAGCACCCCCAAACCAAGATGGCTCTAAGCTCTCCATTGCTCTGACACAGCCAAGGACTCCAGAGCAACTCACCTGTGCTGAATTCGAGGATCGCTCTGCACTAGGGGCAAGATGGCCTCCAGCACCTTGCTGGCTGACCCTGGAAGCATCTCCAGTACCTTCTTATCAATGGCCATTTTGTCCACAATGGTCTTAAAGTAGCGCAAGGCACTGACAACTTCCTTCTCTTTTTCTTCCAGCCAGCTCAGGTTCTGAAAGGAAAAGTTAAGCATAAGGAGGGAGGAGAGAGATTAAAGGGAGTTATTTTGAAAAAATAAAATACAACTTTCTTTAAACGGGCTTGAGATTGATGCAAGTAGAACAGGTTCTTGCTATAGAAACCAAACCAGATTATTCTGCTAAGGACCGTGATCGGGAGACAGAGGCTAGGCCTGAAGGAGGAAGAAGGGGGCCTGGACCAAGAAAGGTCTTCTGGAAATTCCTGAATTCCCTTCCTGAACCCTGGGGTCTTGAGGTCACTTCCCCTCCTCTCTGTCCTAATTAAACACATGTGATAGCACCACTAACTTCGTTAAGTACAGGGAGGACTAATTTGCTGATGACTTGGAGAAGCCCCAGTCAAGTCCCATGGGGCATATATATATCCTGTGAGTCAAGTCAAGAGGCCCCAGGCCTATCTCTCACAGATCTGAGGGACTGTGTGAGGCTGGCCAGGGACATGGGGGCTCAAAACCCATTCCTTTGGGACTCTTCACTGGATCCCCATGTTGTTTACCCCAGTGAAGCCCCCTCCCACTGAAATGATATGCTGCTCCCGAAGGGCCTGAGAACTCCAGGTAGGAAGGGTGGGATGCTCTGGGGTGAGAAGGTGGAGAAGCCGGTTCAGATGGCAATGTCACCCATAACTGAATCACCACTCGTGCAATGGCTGCTGACAGAATTCAGAGGCCCCTGCTCTTGAGAGCCCACCCAAGAGGGAGGGAAAACTCAGAGCCCAATACTTGCCAGTACTCACACCCCTCCTCACCCCTTTTCTTGTTGACTGTGGTCCAGAGCCAGTAGGTATACACACCCCTCGGTTCCTTTCTCCAACCTCCCCTCTACTGGCCCTGATGGCCATGACACAGGTCCCAGCTGGCTGGCAGGGGAAGGGCAATCAAACGTAATCTACAGAAATAGAGTCTCTCTGAACCTGTTCTGGTTTGGAAGGCTGCCCTTAAAAAAAAAGAGTAATCTAGAGAATGCATGAATTAAAAAATGGTCCATCTACTCAAGTAGAATTGATTTCACGCCCAGTGCAAATCAGGAAGGGTGTGTATAGATAGAGTGTCACCTGTGGGCTCTCTGAGGTCCACAGAATGTAAATACAAGCCATCAAGGACAAGAAGATAATTCCTAGAAAAAGGTGATTTAAACAATAATCTATAAATATACAAACAAATGATAGAAATAAAATAAAAAGTGATTATGATCCTGAATACCAGCTCTTTTCTTCTAAAATGATGTGAAATGTCACTTTAAATAAAAAACATTCAATAGCGGAGGCTTTTATTCCATAGAATTATAAAAAACAAATACATATAAATGGATGAGACCAAGCAGTAAACAGTTGCTTCAGTCAGCCACGTTCCAAAGGCCCATGTCATTTCCTGCAGTGGGCACTTCCCAAAGGGCATCCACAGACCACGAGGGCACTTCTCCAAGAGGAGACAGCCCTCCTCAGCCCTGTCATGGGATCCCCTCACTCTGGCTCTCCTGCTCCCTCTGCACTCCCTGGCATCCTTGTTAATTATGGCAGGTGCTGTTCCTGAATCACATGGGCAAGAGCCCTCTCTCCACCATCACCTCCCCGAGGCCAGGAGGAACCTGGGCAGCAGGGGTCATGGAGCCTGCAGACATCGGGTGTACCTCAAGCCATGGTGAGCCTGGCAAGAGGAAGACTGTGACAGTTAAATGGCCGTCTTAGCATGCCAGGATGTGCTAGAAGCCCCGGCAATAGTGAAACTCGGTGGGGGAACAGAAAACATTTTAAGAAAATGTGTCACCAGGTTTGCTAAAGAGAAAGAGGCTGACCTCTGCAGGGGAGGCATTCAAAAAGGGAGAGGCACATCAGAGCAAAAAGAGAATTGTATAGTCAGAGAGGCCAAATCGCCACTGAAGAGCCAGGCTGCCCTGAATTCCTATTAAAGGGGCAACAACTTAGCAGAGTCAGTGTGTCCATTAACTCTCAGATTCCACTCCCAGGATCGACAGGTTCTGAGGGGGGTGTACTCCTCCAGCCCTGCAGCTGTTAAACTGTGGCTTCTTGCAAGTCAGTGAGAGCTGACAGTGACACGCCCATACTCAGCACTAGTGGGGCTGGGGTTGGACACCTTGGCTCTGCTGAAGTTGCCGCATAACCTGAGAGGCAGACAGGTTCAACCCTCCTGCTGTGGGGGATGAGATGCCACCGCTGGTCTATACTGAGCCTGGAAACTAAAGTGAGGCTATCCATGCCTGGGGACAGCCTAGACACAAGGCCAACTGCTGGGCTTTGGGCTTGAATGATCAGAGGGACTGAATGAGAATGCACATGGAAACAGTCCATACAACTCAACAGATACTACGTATCTGCTAATAATAAAGCAAAGGAAGAGGACAAAGTATGTAAAAATATGAAAGGGAAAACAGAGGCAAGATCATAGCTATCACTCATTGGAGACTTCGGGTTTGCCCACTGTGCTACATATTTTATATGCATCGTTTTATTTCAGGGTTACAACCACCCCTGATGTAGACACCATTATTCCACAGGTGGGGAAACTGAGGCTTGATGGGGCGTGGGGGAGGATAAGTAATTTGCCCAAGGTCATACAGCTGTAATGACAGAACTGGAATTTGAACTTGGTTCCCAGAGCCTGGGAAGATGGAGAGGAGAAAAAAAGATTGATCAGAAAAGTATTAGGAGGCTGGCTACAGTGGCTCACACCTGTAATCCCAGCACTTTGGGAGTCTGAGGTGGGAGAATTGCCTGAGCCCAGGAGCTTGAGACCAGACTGGGCAACATAGCAAGACCTCGTCGCTACAAAAAATAAAAAAACTTAGCGAGCATGGAGGCACAGGCCTGTAGTCCCAGCTACTCAGGAGGCGGAGGCAGGAGAATCACCTGAGCTCAGGAGGTCGAGGCTGCGGTGAGCTGTGATCGTGCCACTGCCCTTCAGCCTGGGTGACAAAGGGAGACCCCGATGCAAACAAATAAAATAAATAAATGAGTAAAATAAAGCCCCGATGGCAGAGATGGACAGAAAACTTCCACAGCCTCTTTGCCCTGTGGGGCTGTGCTCATTCATGGCACTGAGGCTGCTGCTTCACTGCCATAGGATGCTACGTAGGGCAAGAGAAGGAGTGATGAAACACTGGCCCTTGCTTTTGGATACTTCTCTCCCCACAGCAGAGCAGCACACTAGGGATACTCGCAAACTCACCCTGTCATTCCCTGTCCTACCTGCATCCCTGGCGCCTCTCCCCACGGTAACTCATTCCTGATATTTCAGAACAGTGACCCACACAAATCTGGGTTCACCCGGGAGGGGTGGCAGTGAGTAAATGACAACAACCAGTACACTGCAAATCCCCTACATACGAACCTTCAAGTTGCAAGTTCACATGTCTGGTGTACACTGTCATGTGTGTACATCCACTATATGTGGTTGTGCTTTTGTGTATTTTACTGTACAGCACTGTATAGAGTACAGTAGTACAGTATATTTCAAGCTCAGGATGTTTGGAAGCCAGTGTCAAAGCAGTGGTGATGTAGCTGTACAGCCAAATGTGTTAGTTGGGCACCTGGTCTAACTTCACTGGACTTGTGAACATGTTGGACTTATAAATGCACTCCCAGAATGGCACTGGTTCACATACAGGGGACTTACTATAATACAAAACTGGAATGGTGGAATTTTGTTAAGACGATGTAACATTATTCCCATCCACTGGACCAGCACGGTGAGGCCCAGCAAGAGGATGTGTCTAACACAGAGACCAGTCACAATGACGCTCCACATTGCAGCCACTGCCAGGCTCTGGCAGCATCTCCTGCTTATATTTCGTCACTAGCTCTGGAGAGCCACAAGGGAAAAGCTTTCAGGAGTCCTCAACAGTCCCAATCCAACCTCTGCAAGCCCCTAGGCCATTTCAGTGCTAACTGTAATTATACTAGGACTGTCATCTCTGGACTCTCAGGATGTGGCTAATTTCTCTGCTATTCCAACCCTCCACAGCTCACGGCTAGGCTTGTTAAAAAGTTGCAGAAAAGTTAAATTTCTCACAGCATACTTTGAATTTTTAAATTCACTAAGAAGATGAAGGAGACTACTAATATGAATCAGTCTGGGAAGACAATAGAACATAACGAGAAAAACAGATCTTGGTTAAGAAAATCTGGATCAGTAGCCAACAGTGCCTGCACATGGAGAATAATAAAAGCTTTCCCACACAGTTATGGTGAGGATCAAATAAGACAGCATGTGTGAAACTACCCAGGGCAGGGCCCAGGTAAAGAGAAGCCCTTGCTAAGTGGTAACGAACCGGAATCTGAACTTTTTCTCCCTGTGCTTCAATTTCCCATGTATTTGAACAGGAAAAGCCAAGCGTGCAGTGAGAGTGCATGCAGACACTCCCTAAGTAGCAAGAGAGCTAATGAATGACAGACAATGGCAGCAAGGTCTCTCGGACATGATCGCTGAAGTCCACACACCTGGCAGATTCTCAACACTCCCGCTCTGTCTTAGGGCCTCCACTAAGCAACGAGTTCTTATTTCCTTTGTCCCATGCAGATGACGGGGGGCAGAGTATCATCATCCAAACCTTCTTCAAGGGCAGTGACCACAAAGGGGAGGCCATTCCTCCTTGGGTGAAGACCACACCTACATCTCCAAGCTGCAGAACGGGCTTCTAAGCCTCAGCACTACTGGACATTCTGGGGCAGACGATTCCTCGTTTTGGAAAAGCTGTCCTGTGTATGGTAGGATGTTTCTCAGCATCCCTAGCCCCACCCACTAGATGCCAGTAGCATCTGTTTTGTCCTCCTATGGCGACACCCAAAACTGTCTCCAGACATTGTCAAATGTCTCCTGGGATTTGCAAGCACCCTACTAAGAGAGGGGTTCTTCAGCATTTAGTTTTCCTGCATGATCTCTCTTAGAACAATGAATAAAGAGAGGGAAATCCAAGAGCTGAGTGGCTAAACAAAATAGTTTCATATCTGAGCTCACCGGCAGAACAAAGCTGTTAGTAAATCATTTGACTCCAAACTGCCTGGACTGGTGTTAGATGACAACTTTAACTCTCCTTGGAGTTTAATATTCTTTTTTTTTTTGAGTCAGAGTCTCACTCTGTTACCCAGGCTGGAGTGCAGTGGCACGCTCATGGCCACCGCAGCCTCCACTCAGGCAATCCTTCCACCTCAGCCTTCCAAGGAGCTAGAACCACAGGTGAGTGTCACCATGTTCAGTTAATTTTTTATTTTTTATCGTAGAGGTGAGGTCTCACTGTGTTGCTCAGGCTGATCTCAAATCCCTGGACTCAGGCAATCCTCTCACCTCTGCCTCCCAAAATGCTGGGATTACAGGCATGAGCCATCGTGCCTGGTTGGAGTTAAATATCCAGTTCGACTCCAAGAGGTTACTAAACAGATTGCAATAAATAAAAATTGTGGCACAGACCAAATCTACTTTATTACTCTTCTTTAATCTGGAATTTAGAACAATCTGGCAAACACTGGCTGGCTCCCTCCTGTTCTTCGGCCTCCTTTTGTTAACAGATGGAACAGGAAAAACTATTTTTCAACAAAAGACTTTTGGATTTCTAAAATCTTTGCTTTCTCTACTTTAAACTAGAATTTTCTTTTCTTTTTTTGAGGTAGGGTCTTACTCTGTTGCCCAGGCTGCAGTGCAGGGGTGTGATGCTAGCTTACCACAACCTCAACTTCTTGGGCTCAGGCAATCCTCCTACCTCAGCCTCCTGTGTAGCAGGAACTATAGGCATGCACCACCACGCCTGACTGATTTTTGCATTTTTTTGTAGAGACAAGGTATTGCTATGTTGCTCATTGTGTAGAGACAGGTCTTGAACTCCTAAGCTCAAGCAATCCTCTTGTCTTGGCCTTCCAAAGTGCTGGAATTACAGGTGTGAGTCACTGCACCCAACTCACTTTTAACCAGAATTTTAAGATATTCTGCTGGTCAACATAAAAACACAAAATAGATGAACTGCAAAATTCAAGAATTCCATGTTTAAGTAACAGGGTAGTATTTTCTAGCTGCACAAATTTGATGGCTGTGACAGTAGTTCCCGCTACATATAAATTATTCCTTGCATAATAACTAAAGAATTAAGAGTCTATTTGCCTATAAGGCCTGTTTTTATTTTTACATTGCTAAGTTTAGTTTTATTTTTATGTACAGTAATGAGCCAGGATCAATATTACGATTTGTGAGATATTAAAAAATAAAATCTGCCTTTCCCAAAGAGGAAATGAGAAGTCTTGAGAATTCAGACTCTGAAGTCAGACGGCCTGCATTCAGATCCTCATTTCACCACCTTTTGGCTGTGTGACTCTGGTTAAATGCTTAATATGTCTACAGATTCAGTTTCCTTTTTTGCAAAATGAGTTTTCACATGTCAGGGCTGTTATGAAGGAAAGTGAGAGAACGCGTGTACGGCACTTTGTGTGGGACCCAGAAAAGGCTCCATGAACGTCAGTGATCCAGAAGGCGCCCCTGGCTCGAAGGGCGCTTGGTTATGTGATCATCTCACTGTGTTCTGCGGGCCTGGCAAGAGTCTGAGAGAATACTCTAAGGCTGTGGAAGCCTTTCTCCTCTAAAACTATTCAGATCATCTTAGCAATTCAAGGAAAGAACAGCTAGTCTTGAGAGACAGACTCACCACATCCCCCTGAAACCCACTGGACCCAAGCAGCACACCCAAACCAACCCCAGGAAGAATCCCAAGCTTTTGCCTCGGTGCACTGAGCTCTCTCCAAAGACGATGGGAACTTGGATAAACTCACTTTTATCCAAGAGTGGACTTTTTCTTGAGCAATATAGCCCACAGCCACCACCCAGTTGAATACAATGATATTGCAATAGGCTTTTTCCATCCCCAAAACCATGGACCAGGATTCTGCAGTAGAAGGCAAGGCAAACCCAATTGTTCTTAACGTCACACTGACCTTCTGCCTCTGAGACCTGGAAGCCACAGCACTGGTGGACATAAATTCTACTGCCTGCTGCTCCAGATCCAAGGGGATAGGGTAGCCCTCTGGCAGAAATCTGTCTGTTGCCTCCTGGAAGAGAGGAAACCTGGATTCCTACAGAGCTTGAAATGGCCGTCTGAGGCTGGAGGGAGGGGTGATGGAAATCAGGAGCTGTTTGGACATATCAAGGACATCTCTGGCTGGGCTTCGGGGTCTGGATGTCACAAACATCCCTGTGCCTGAGTGCGCACCAGGGCGAGGTGGGAACTCTGGGGCAGGGAGGCCACATCCTGGGCTGTGAACATGAGTATTGAGCTGCTTTAAATGCCCAGAGGAAGACGTGGCTGGAAGAGAACTGCTCTAGCCAACTGAGCTTGACTCTCATGAACATGGCCAACACTCACCACCCTAATGGTTCTTATTTCACAAGGACCCCAAGGCCCCGCCTGGAATCAAAGGAGGCTACGGACTAGGTGTGATGTGTTGAAGGTGGAATCCCCAAGAAGGGAACCCACAGACAGTACACACTGGTACTGCAGGAAGCAGGCACAGCCAGAAGAGTCTGGACAGGGTCGGCTTACTTTGTTCACAGGCTTCTCTGGAACCTTCATGGACACCTCAGCTGGCTTTCCCTTCTTGGATGGCGTTCTCTTGATTTTGGGTGAGTGGAATTTGTCCATGAGCTTCATGGTGAAGGAAGACAGATGAGAACGCTGAGAATCTGAAACAAAGAGGGAACCAACAGTTAAAGGGAGGAGTTTTGGTCCCTTGACCTGCTGTGGACATGCACAATGTCCCCAAACCAATCTTTTTTTTTCCTTGGCTGTCTAGAGTTTCAAAGGAAAGTTAATACAGGTTGATTTAAAAAAAAAAAACACAAAACTCTGCTTAAAATAAATAAAAATAAACGTTAAAAAGAAAACCTCTGCTTACATGTTTCGATTCTTACAATTTCACCTAGGTTACGCTGTTCAGAATTGTGGAAATCACAGGATAAGTACGGGAAAAGGACTTGCAAATACTTTCAAGTGCCACTGTAGAGTTCGTATGATGATCTAGCCGAAGTCCGAGGGAATTGGTTAAGAAGAAAGAATATGCAGAATCAAAGTAGAATCAAAGACCGGCAGGGTATCCTGTAAGACCTGAGAAGGAAGGCCCCTTACAGTTGACCTCCATATTTGTTTAAGGAACTGCAACATTGTTTAAGGAATTGTAACAAGTGACATGTGTGAGGCCCCAGAGTTGGCAGCAGAGACTGAACTACAAGGAAGGTGTTCAGGACCCTCTTGTGCCGTGGTGAAAGATGGAATGACATCCCCTAAGATCAGGGGCAAGAATAGGATACCTGTTCTCACCACTCCTATTTGATGTTGTACTGGTCCAGACCTAAATTGCAACAGTAAAAACTATAGAACTCTTAGAAGAAAACAAGGGAGTTTCTGTGACTTTGGGTTTGACCATGTTTTCTTAGATAGAAACCAAAAGCACAAGTGACAAAAGAAAAAAACAGATAAATTGGACTTCATCAAAATAAAATTTTTGAAATTTTTATTTAGTCAGGGTCTCACTCATTTTTCCCATGCTGAAGTGCAGTGGCACAATCTTGGCACCACAACATTGACTTCCCGGGCTCAGGTAATCCTCCCTCCTCAGCCTACCAAGTAGCTGGGACTACAGGCATGCACCACCATGCCCAACTTGATTTTTTATTTTTTGTAAAGACAAGGTCTCACTATGTTGCCCAGGCTGGAAAATTAAACACTTGTGTGCTACAAATGATACCACCTAAGAAAATGAAAAGACAATTCACAGGAGAGAAAATACAGTCACTCATGGCTCAATGACAGGTATGTGTTCCAAGAAAGGCATCCTTAGGCGGTTTCATTGTTGCATGAACATCATAGTGTACTTACACAAACCTAGAAGGTGAAGCCGAGCCTACATGTTATATAGATGACAAACATGTACAGCATGTTACTGTACTGAATACCATAGGCACTTGTAACACAATGGTGTCTGTGTATGTAAACATAGAAAAGGGACAGTAACAATATAGTATAAAAGATAAAAATAGTACACCTGTTAGGGCACTTACCATAAATGGAACTTGTAGGACTTGAGGTAAGTGGAAGTGGAATGTGAATGTCTAGGATATTACTATATACTATTGTAGATTTTATAACCATGGCACACTTAGCCTACACTACATTTATTTTTAAAACATTTGATCTCTTCAATAATAAATTAACCGTAGCTTACTGTAACTTTTTTACTTTATAAACTTAAAATTTTTAAACCTTTTTTTTTAGAGACAAGATCTTACTCTGTCATCTAGGTTAAAGTGCCGTGGCATAATCATAGCTCATTATAGCCCTGAACTCCTAGGCTTAAGCAATCCTCCTGCCCTGGCCTCCTGTGTAGCTAGGACTACAGGCATGTGTTATCACATTTGGTTATTTTTTTTTTTGGTAGTGACAGGGTCTTGTCCTGTTGCCCAGGCTGATCTCAAACTCCTGATCTGAAGCGATCCTCCTGCCTTGGCTGTCCAAAGCCCTGAGAACTTTTCAACTTTGCAATAACACCTAGCTTAAAACAAATACATTGTACAACTATACAAAAATATTTCCTCTCTTTATATGCTTATTCTATAAGCTTTTATTCTATTAATTTGTTTTAATCTTTTAAAATTTTTTTGTTAAAAACTAAGACACAGGGCAGTGGCTCACACTTTTTTTTTTTTGAGTTGGAGTCTCACTTTGTTGCCTAGACTGGAGTGCAGTGGCCACTCCCGGCCACCGCAGCCTTGACCTGCTGGGCTCCGGTGATCCTTCCGCCTCAGCCTTCCAAGTAGCTGGAACTACAGGCGCAGTGGCTCACATTTTTTTTTTTTTGAGTTGGAATCTCACTCTGTTACCCAGACTGGAGTGCAGTGGCCACTCCCGGCCACCGCAGCCTCGACCTGCTGGGCTCCGGCGATCCTTCTGGATCAGCCTTCCGAGTAGCTGGAATTACAGGCACGCGCTACCACGCCCAGCTGATTTTTTGATTTATTGTAGAGATGAGGTCTCGCTGCCCAGGCGGGTCTCGAACCCGCAGGGCTCAGGCAATCCACTCACCTCAGCCTCCCAAAGGCGCGGGATTACAGGCTGAGCCACCGAGCCCGGCAGCTCACACTTTTAATCCCAGTACTTTGGAAGGCTAGAGTGGGAGGACTGAGGCCAAGAGTTTAAGATCAGCAAGGCAAATTAGTGAGACTCAATCTCTACAAATAAATAAGAATACAAATTCAAATTAAAAAAAGAAAAACAAACAAAAAATAACAAATATGAACACCAGCCAGGTGCAGTGGGTCACACCTGTAATCCCAGCACTTTGGGAGGCCAGGCAAGAGGACTGCCTGAGCCTAGGGGTTCAAGACCAGCCGGGGCAACTTGGCGAGACCTCGTCTCTACAATAAATAAAAAAATTAGGCGTGGTGGTATGTACCTGTGGTTCCAGCTACTTGGAAGGCTGAGGTGGAAGGAACATGCCACTGTACTCCAGGTCAAGGCTGTGGTGGCCATGAACGTGCCACTGTACTCCATCCTGTATGACAGAGTGAGACTCTGACTCAAAAATAATAATAATAATAATAAACACATGGAGCTGTCATCTCCTATGACAACAATACCTCCTTTTGGAATACCTCCTGAAGGACCTGTCTGAGGCTATTTTACAGTTAACCTTTTTTTTAAATAAGTAGAAGGAGCTTATGATAAAAAGTATAGTACAGTAAGTATACAAACCAATGACATAGTCATGTATTATGTACTACATGTAGTTGTATGCACTATATTTTTACACCAGTATTACCATAAACACACGAGCAATGCATTGCCCTATGACACTGTGATGTTACAATGGGCAAGATGATAGAAATTCTCAGCTCCCTCATAATTTTTTTTTTTTTTGAGTTGGAGTCTCACTCTGTCGCCCAGACTGGAGTGCAGTGGCCGCTGCCTCGACTTGCTGGGCTCTGGCAATCCTTCCACCTCAGCCTTCCGAGTAGCCGGAATTACAGGCGTGCACTACCA